GTGATTCGGCGAATATCCATTAGGCTTGTTGGGATTGACATATATGATCAAGTTATGTATACTGCAACAATATAATCTCGTTATTTAATAAGTGACTTGTCAGTCTTTGGAATTGACTTGTTATAAAAAAAAACATTACGTTTTTCGTATAATATTTTGTTATCTTGTCTTATCTTACCTTATATTCTATCTTACATATAGCTATTCCTAGAAGACCACCTACACCATTTACAGGATATACTCTGATAAGATAAATCTACAAGTAATATCGACTGGCAAAATGTTACTATTGCAGTTGATGTTGAGACGGCACAAAACTATAACGTGACTAATGTATACGTGTAATTACAATGGATTAGCGTTTTCAAAAAATGGCGTATGAACTATTCTTATCTTGTGTAGCACGTTTTATCAATATTTCAGCTTAGTGGTTACCTGAAAGCACCTGGTGTTATCTTTCGATGATAATAGATTACCAAAAAATAGATCAGAGTGCTGTGTTCTCATCGGCCGTCATTTCAACGATGCAGCGAAAATGGATAATCGTATTTTTCTTTACTGGTGGTTTGGCCACCCTGTATTTAATAATAGTGTACAACGAGTGGGAGATTTTTGCAATAAAAAGTGTCAATTACGGGCATAGATATGCCTTTAATTTTAATGAAAATAATCCGATCAAAGCTAACGGCAGCTACGAATCTTCAAGAGTTGCACTACAGGTAGCTCAAACATTTTTTCTTCCCTTATTCTTATAACCAAATAAATATGTATGATTTCTTAAGTTTTACTAATAATATTGCTATATTTGGAATTATTAGCTGCCGAATGAGGAAAACACCAGTACTGAACATGGAAGTGCTATTAAAACTATTCTGTATTGGAATAAGATGTACGTGGAGCAAGAGAAATATTTTTTCTTTGGACATGGAGATATATTTAAAGGATGCCCAGTGCCACATTGTTATGCAACGAATAAGCGTGATTATCATGAGTCTTTGACAGATTTTGACGCTATATTGTTTCATGGTGTCGAAATGGTAAAAGGGGATATACCAAAAGTACGTTCTCCGAATCAGAGATATGTATTCTTCACTTGGGAATCTGCTGCGTCTAGGTTATTGGAACTTTGACTTTTTTTTTCGAATATCAATAATAAATGTGTAAATGTCAGTTATGAACTATTTTGTAATTAAGTTTTCGTTAATTTTTAGACCTATTAATAATCATGTGTTCGAGCTGACGCCAAATTATTATAATTGGACCATGGGCTTCCGAATGGATTCGGATATTCCACGTCCTTACGCTGTGGTTAGGGATCGAAATACGAATGAAATTGTTGCGCCAAGTTCGAAGGAAGTATCATGGCGCGAACCGGAAGACACATTCTCTGATCCGGAGCTGGATAACCTTGTTAAGGAAAAGACCAAGATGGCTGCTTGGTTTGTTTCGCACTGTAACACAATATCAAAGCGCGATGCATTAGTGGCGGCTCTTCGAAAGTATATACGGGTATATCGAAATTTCAAAAGGTTTGATAAATATAATTGTAATTGATAAAGTAAGGTTAACTTTGTTTATGCTTCTAGGTTGACATTTACGGTGCATGTGGGAGTTATAAATGTGACAAAAATCAAGACTGTTATGGGATGCTTGAGAAAGAATACTATTTTTATATATCATTTGAAAATACATTGTGCGTCGATTACGTCACGGAAAAGCTTTATGAAATATTAAAAAGAAATGTAATTCCCGTGGTTTATGGCGGCGCGAATTACACGCGTTTCGCCCCACCGCGATCTTACGTCAACGTCGAAGATTTTAAGAACGCGGAGACACTCGCTGCGTTCTTAAAGAAACTCGCGAGCGCTCCTGCCGAATATAGAAAATATTTTTGGTGGAAGCGATATTACGCTATTGAAGACTCGAAACAATCGACACTGTGTAAGTTTTGCGAAATGCTGCACGATAAGAGTTTGCCGAGAAAAAGTATGTTGGATTTTCGAAAGTATTACCTTGATGGTCAGTGCCATCTTCCGGACCCAAGATGGTTTCAAAAATAATCAATGACCGAACGTTGTTCAAGTTCCCCTGTGATAAAATAGCATTTAATGTATATGACACAGAATAATTAATATTTACGAAAGCTTATAGTAAATAAAAAGACAATACAATTGCCGTATAATTTATTTTCATTAATTGAAAACTAATAAAATCTCATTCGTGCGCTTCTAGTAAAGTTCGGTACAAAATTAAAATTGAAAATGAAAAAATATCCACAAACGTATAAACATTTTACGTAAATGCAGCCAGGTTTTCCCAAATATCTGTATACATATACATAAAAAAAGAGCAATCATTCGCACAGTTAATCAGTATATTTAACAGTGGTCATCGAATGAGTACAGTCGCTTTCACGTTCAGAATGTCGTCCTTCTATACACACAAGACCGATTCAACAGTCATCAGATGCAAATTCCAGTATATCTACATGAATTTACTGGAAATCCTATAGGTACCTTCACGCACATTAGATATTCAATTAGTGTCGGAGTCATCGAAGCTCTCTGTAATGTCTTCAGGTCGGCGAAAAAGGAAAAAGCAAGCTTCAATAAACTCCCGTAAACTTTGGTAACTTTGCGAGTAATCATTGTCGCGCGTCGATTAATTGACCCGACGTCGTATAAATTCTTCCATGTATTCTCATTCAAAAAATCGACGTCATATCAGTCAAACACAAATGCACCGTCGTCTCTCTTCGTTTAGCTCATTACTTTATCGATCCACGGAACGAACTTTTGAATGTTTGTATAGACACCAGGTAAATGTTCACGACCACATCCGATTCCCCAGGAAACCAAACCGATGAGAACGTGTCTGCCTTCAACAGACAGCGTAAGTGGTCCGCCGGAGTCTCCCTGTACATATACCAATCATGATAACCCTGACCATTCAAAAATAGTTCAAATTTAAAAAAAAAATATCTTTCAATTTTTAGTTTACCTGACAAGAATCCCGACCTCCCTCTTTATATCCAGCGCAAAGAAAAACGTCGTGTATGGTTTCTCTTCGTCCTGCAGCTCTGAACCATCTCTGACACCTTTCATTTGGTATGACCTGATAACGTGCAAGCCGATAAAAATAATTAAAAGTCAATCAAATAAAATTAAAAAACACGCACATTAGATATTCAATTAGTGTCGGAGTCATCGAAGCTCTCTGTAATGTCTTCAGGTCGGCGAAAAAGGAAAAAGCAAGCTTCAATAAACTCCCGTAAACTTTGGTAACTTTGCGAGTAATCATTGTCGCGCGTCGATTAATTGACCCGACGTCGTATAAATTCTTCCATGTATTCTCATTCAAAAAATCGACGTCATATCAGTCAAACACAAATGCACCGTCGTCTCTCTTCGTTTAGCTCATTACTTTATCGATCCACGGAACGAACTTTTGAATGTTTGTATAGACACCAGGTAAATGTTCACGACCACATCCGATTCCCCAGGAAACCAAACCGATGAGAACGTGTCTGCCTTCAACAGACAGCGTAAGTGGTCCGCCGGAGTCTCCCTGTACATATACCAATCATGATAACCCTGACCATTCAAAAATAGTTCAAATTTAAAAAAAAAATATCTTTCAATTTTTAGTTTACCTGACAAGAATCCCGACCTCCCTCTTTATATCCAGCGCAAAGAAAAACGTCGTGTATGGTTTCTCTTCGTCCTGCAGCTCTGAACCATCTCTGACACCTTTCATTTGGTATGACCTGATAACGTGCAAGCCGATAAAAATAATTAAAAGTCAATCAAATAAAATTAAAAAACGTGTATATCAAAAACTATCATTTCACTAAATATTATTACCTCAACGTCCACTTCCTGGAGAACGGTAGGTGCAGAACTTTGCCCGTGTCTCGTTCTACCCCAACCAGCAACCGTAGCGGTTCTACCCGATAACTTGAGGTTCCTGGCTGGTAAACAAACCGGTAATATATGCTGTTTGAATGCGACGGTTCGCGATAACTTCACTAGAGCGACGTCATTACGAAAATCCGTAGGCGAGTATTGCGGATGTACCTGTAAAAACGATCTTTATTATTTCTGTTATCAATTTTTGAAAATAATTATTTATTAATCATAGTGCACGATAACGTTTCATGATAACTGGACTGACCTCCTTGCGTTCTATGTTGTATTCCTCGTGAAGTAATCTCTCTGTAGAATCTCTAACGTCCCACTCGCCAAGCCTGACTTTCAAGTTACTATTAGGCGTCCTGTCACAGAAGATTAATCCGTATTAGCTTCTTAACGAAAATTGTACAAATAAATAATTATAAATTAGGTAAATATTAATATCGATTAACGATACTAACGTCGCCACGCAATGCGCTGCTGTTACGACCCATCGGTTGTTCAGCAAAGCACCGCCGCAAGAAAGTTTCTTCGACAGGAATCCTGACTTTATGATTGCAGCCTTAAAAAGAAAAAGACAAAAGAATATAAATAAACGTACCGCAAATCCATTGTATTATAGAGAGTGATAATAAAAAAATACGACAATATATTATATCGGCAAGTAAAAAAAGAATATATAGAAGCGCGCGTTGTGTCTTGAGAATATAAGTAATCGTTTTACTGGCCGCGAAAGGAGAAATTTCTCATGTGTATTTGCGACCGTCGCATTTCTCCGGCTTTTACACAAAGAAATCCATATCCAAAGTGATTCCATTTCTTCGTCTATACTTTCTACGTGCGTTTCCATTCTCCTCGTACTTTTCGTCAAATATTTTATGGGATACGAATGTGCCTACAGTATAACCTAGAGATGGTAAAGTGTACTGAAGAGATACAACGGCATTTAATTAAAGTTGACACACCTTAAAGGAGCCTTCATAGCTTTATGAGACTCGTCGAACGCAATTGTGAAGACACCTTTACTCTGCCAGTACTATAAGAATCCATGGCCACTGGGATTTTCGTGTAAATTCTTATAGACAATTTTAATGGTTAACGTCCAATAGAAAACACCTCGTGCGAGACGAATGAATAATTCAAATAATAAAAAGGAAGAGCGTCGAGAAACGTGAGAAGCTATTTTAACCGAGACGTGAAATTTATTACGGAAACAAGTTCATCGCCACTATCTTACCTGCCACGGATGACTGCCAAAGCTTGAACTGTGACCCCCCACGATTCTGTTACTCCTAGTGTACAATTCGCCGCAACCTGTAATCAACACAGAAGAATTAATGATAAGATAACAAATATTTCTAGATACTAATTTATCAGAGACCTAAGAGTATGCTCAGAGATAGAGAGAGATACAAAATTGTGCGCATGCTGTGAATGGACCAATTGATATTTGAACAATTAAAAAAAAAGTCGTGCGTATCTCCATGCCAAGCGATAAGACTCATAGCGCATGCTGCTATAGGTAGCTTTGTCTTGTCTCCTATTGTTTTGTTCATCCGTTCGTCCAGCATCCCTCTTAACCATTATTCCATTATCTTCCGTGAAAGTAACCGTCGCGTCCTGCGAAAGTGATCGCGTGCAACCAGATGTCCTTCCGTGCAAGAGAGTCGCGTGAATTCTCAAGCGAGTCCTTTCTAGAGTTTCTGTCAATAATAGATAATGGGGTAAAGCCCTCGTTTCCCTGGTCCAGTTCCGCTCCTCCTCGTTATCCAGAATCTTGTGCGACGGAGAAATTGTATCTGCGTAATGGCTGTCGCGATGGAAATAACGAAGAGTCAGTCGTGCGTCAATTGTTGGCCGATGACAATTACGAATTAAAAACAAAGTAGGAAAAATAAGCAATGCCAAATTAAGACATCATTGATTGCCAAGGATAATCTTATCAGATTACCACGATATTTAGATTGGTCCAATGTATTTGAATTATCCTCTCCCGGTCTGTGACTCCCACCGGAAACCGGGTAGCCGTTGTCTTCGTATTCGTCCTGTGGATAATCCACGGGAGCATATCCGGCCGTTACCGGTCGATTAATAAACGGTCGATCGTGATTGATGACCTCAGGATGATTGTCCCAGGATGAGTGATTCGGCGAATATCCATTAGGCTTGTTGGGATTGACATATATGATCGAAGGTCGATGAGCATTGTGAGGATAGATAGTCTGAGGACGTAGTCCGTTGTAGATGGCGACATCGTCGTCCAGGTAAGGCCGCTGATTGGCCAGATTTATTGAGAACGCTAGAATTTTTTTATTTTCAAATTCCAACCAGATTACGAAATTTTTAATTAATTTTTTTTTTTTTAAAAAAAAGCACACTCAAATTTACTGTGTAGTCAAAACGAGCTAAACGGTCACTTGGAGCGGAAAATAAGGGCTGCCAACAGGCGGTCGTTGTCATTGGCGAAAGTCGCCATTATTCGCAGCAGCCTCAAGGCTACTTCTCTACCCTCATTCAATAATCCTCAAGTTAATTCGTGAACGGATCTTCGTCCTGTGTCAACCTACTACACGCCACTGAGTGCTACGTATGTTGGTATAACTGTATTCGAAAGTTGGTCGCATGTCCAGCCATACCTGGTCACTCGGTTCTACCTACTATTATGCAATTTTGGAAGTCGTCGTGAGAAATCAGGTTTTCTTCATTCCGTTCACACTTGGCGACATGCTTTGAATATAATGAATATGTCGTTTACACGTCTGACAATTTTTCTTACGTAATTTTTATATTTTCCCTTGAAACATAACACGCACTTAGACCCAGTTGTTACAAATTGCTATGACGAAATTTATCGAGTGATTCGTGCGTAATCGAATATTCATAGGCAACAGTTTGACCAGAATTTAAGATTGCATGTGTTATTATCGTAATTCAGCGATCGACGACTTGGTAAAGTTAGATGCTGCATACGGTCATTGGTCAGTTTTAGTACGTATTACGGCAATGGCATTAACCTAGCTACACCTTGATATTTATGAAACGGCAATTACTCAAGCGTCTGAAAATTGGTTCCAGTTCAACTCGTTGAGAGACACGATATCCGTTTCTTATTCACGTCCAAGATGACTTGCATCATTATTGTACTTGGTAAGAGCTATAGGAAGTTTTTACGTACGAAAATAGAATTAATGAAAATTTCAATAAACCTAGGGAATTTCATTGCCAAGAATAAAAGTACCATAAGACCAGGTACTTTTTATACGGGACTCGACTGAAAAGATTTGAAGAAAATAAAAATAATAATCTGCCCTTTATACAGGGAGATTCAAAAACTTACTGGCATTCTGTAGCAGACCTACACTTGGCTGCGGTACTTTTTCCGGTATATCATCATCGTCCACGCAGCAACTCCAAATTAATCCTCCGGAGCAAAGGTCAACAGGTCGACCTCCGCCAAGAACACAGCTGATGCTGAGTCCGCAGTCGAATTTGGTACCCTTGTACTTGCAGGTCTGGGGTATCACTGGAAATAAAAAAATGAATCATATACACGTAGATTTTGACAAAATTTTACTTAAAAAAAAAAAAGGAAATTGTCTTTTTCCAAAATTCGTATCTTCCGAATAAAAAGTCTTCGACTCCCGTACGAATGAATGGACATGACCGTGGCTTTGTTTACCCCGATGAGATCCTCCGCTCTGTTTCTCACGATAAATGATCCCATCGTAATTGCGAGGCACTTTCGTTCCGAATCGGAGTTTCGTAAGTGAAATTTAGGACTCCGAGCGAACGTGAAAGTTACCACGATAACGGCCACTTATCGCCTTTAATGTATATCGATAACAACAATTACCACAGCGTAATCCTGCTTTCGATACAAAGCATTAAATTGTTCATGCATAATATTATTTTCACTGTACAAATAATATCAACGTTTCGGCCATATTTTATTATTATTATTAACCTACTTCTACCGAGCATATCCATAATTCCAGATGGCAGATTAGCCTGTTGTCCTCTAGGATCATCGGCGTCGGTATAGTTTCGTTTTCTCCTCAAAGTTTCAACCAAAAGAATCCCTTGCTCCTGACTGGTCAATTTTCTTCGTCGTCCTTGCCTCTCGGACGAGTCCTCGAAGTTCAGCTCAGCCAGTTCACCATTTTTCCTCTTACGTCCAAGCTCATCCAGAAGCAGGACCAGGTTTGATTGGCTGTCCTCCGAAGTCATCAGTGATAACGGCTCGTTGGTGTCCCAAGAATTCTTATCCTCGTGCAATTCGAGCCCACCGTATTCTTGGGTATGATCTTGAGGGCTTTCTCCTCCGGGATGAGAAGCCGCTTCCGGTTCGGCCTGATAAGGATAACCAGGTGTCACTCTGTCGGAGTTCCAATAGCTCTGATGACTTTCTTGAGAATTCTTCAGGGTCTCTTGAAGGTGTCCTCTCACAGGGCGACCTCTTTCTATCACATTCTTCAAGGTACTTTCTATAGCCCTGTTTTCACGCACGTACTCCGAATGATCTCTAGGGTTTTTGGATGATCTAAAAAAGTTGTCACTTCCGCCTACAGTACCTTCCTCCATGCTCGAGGAATCCTGCCGCTCCTGGTATCGATTTTCGGGCTGACCCTGAGGTCTACCGAAAAAAATAGGCTCCTGACTGAGGTATCCCGCTGATCCTGATGATCCTGTCTTGGATCCTGCTGATCGGTATGCTTCCATGTTATAAAAATCATAGTCAGCCTTGGCTGCTACTGAGACAAGTAGCACGTAAAGGAAATTCAGCCACATGCTGAATATTTACACTGTTGACACTCCCTCTGATGAACAATCATACAATCTGAGCATCCTCACAGAAATACATCCGTTTCAACGTGTCACTACCTTATCGACCGGTTTTTCACTATTGATCACGTATCGATAAAGGCTCCACCATCCGGTCTGGCAATGATGATCTTTGTACGATAACAATTATTCATGGCTACTTGAGCTGCACGTTCGTCACGTAGGTCTTGTCGTTCACGAGAATTATGAGCTTGTAATAAGTTGCATAGGTCACGACCTTTATCTCGAAATCACTCCTTGGCATTTTGCGCTATCACAAAATCGGTTCCATAGAGGGAACAAACGTACGAGGTCAGATCCTTCCAATGAATCCAGTCCGATGAGGATCGGTCCAAAAGAAGGATCCTGTTACCGGAGTGGAGTCCACGAACAAACCTAATTGTATTTCCCACCAAACCGATTCAAATCGGTTGGATCAAACGGATGGTCGAAGGTCGTCTACAGACCTGATGTCAAAGCGCGTCTTGCACGTGGACTGACTTGGACTTGACGTCTAGCGAGTCAATTGGGGTCTTGGGAGTTGGCTCTGCTTTCACCGACAACAGCTTTCCCGACGGCCCAAGTGCTACCAATATAATACCACCGTTGCTTTTCCCCTACCTTCACTTTGTGTATACCCATCTTTGTTCTTTGTTTTCTTTTTACATATCTGTCAGGTACCGATCTGATACGCGGCTGGACCAGGTACTTCTTTGATTTCGTACTAAGCCCGAATCATAGTGATCCAATATAACTCTCGAGTATACTCGAGCGAAAATACTAATGTTACTTTGTTATCGTGAGGATAGTTTTTGAAAAATAATAATAATTCTTTAAGATACCGTGATATTACGTGAAATACGAAGAGCATTGTTTTTACATCGAGAATCAAGCAAAACCATCCGCGAATTTCACCGTGGAAAGTGTCTGGTGATATTTTCGTTCACGTACACGAAAATTTCACAGTTTCGCAACGATGATCTTTACTGTCGCGACCCAAATTACTGTGAATCGTTTTCACCGAAAGTATTTCCTATAAATTTCGCGAAACGCCAAATTGTTTCGCCGTTTATATCCTGCGCATTTTTTATTGCGCTCCCGCAGCTGCAATTCACGCTGGACTTGAGCTAATCTGTGGCGATGGAAAGTAAGTTTCGCCAACCTTTCAAGGCAAAAGTTCATTTTCATCTTTTCGGCTGAACAGCTCAAGCGCAAATCGCGAAATTTCTTTGACACTCGTTTACGTAGTGCGTCCGTTGCGATTGGCAAAAATAACAAGAGGAATTTCGCCACTGTCAGTCCCTCAATTTTTACCACTGATCCTTTTCCGTAAATTCGTAATTTTATCAATAAAATGTCAACATGACGTCACATTGAAAAAATGAAAAACCATCAAATTACTTATTCACATTTTATCGTATACGTATACACGTGTATAATGAATTATAAATAATTAACAACATTTTTTTTTAATTCTACAAATTATATTCGATCGGAGGTTTCGAAATACCAAACGGAAATGCTTATTAGGACAGATCCGTTTCTCGATGTCCGGTTAAGGTGTAAACATTGCGCAACAATTATGACGCATCTAGTATATGTAAATTAAAATGAATGAACGCGAAGCGTTATCCATATGAGGAAAAAGTAATGCTGTATGTTACCCGTATGTGGATATATGTATGCATGAGACTTGTTACAGTCCGACGATTATATGAGTTTGAGAGTGCGAAACGGACGTGTCACGGCTGGGTACAATTATCTCGAAAGAAGAAACTTCTTTGTCGCGAAAATCACGTGCGCGTCGGGCCTTTCTCTTTCAGGCCAAGAACTATGGCGAATTCGAGTTAACTCACTACTACGGGCGCATCCAGACGAGTAATACAAGAAGATCAGCACGGATTCGCATTAGAGGAACTTTATCGCAGTAGTAAACCAATCAAATCTCAACATCATGTTACACAATTCATTGCGATTGTGACTTACAACGTAATAAAAAATGTATAAATCCAGTATATTCATATAATATAAGAAGGCTGAATTAATGTATTACAAAAGAAGCGAGACGAGCGAATTAAAAAATCAACAGGGATTCGCATGGAGGAATTTTGATGGATTCGATTAATCTACTGGATAGTTATTTGTTATTGATTACTATTGATCGCTAATCCATGCTGTAGTGAACTGCTGATTCGACTTTGTCATTTAATACATTTTTTTTATCGATAAATTTAATTATTTATATATGAAATAATAATAATAAACTTACGTCCAAGCTCGTCGAAGAATCTCATCTCTCCCTGGGATCCTAGAGAGTTTGCTGAATTCTTGTCGTTGTTAGTATCATCTGTAAAGAGAATCGAATGGTCTTGATAAGAAATTATCTTTGTTGTCAGATTTTAATAAGAAATTTGTGAAGCTCATTGACTTACCTAGACTTGATAGATAGCGATCGTTCCTTCGGGTGTTCCCCGTGGTTGATAAGGCTAAGATCAGTAGGATGATCTGGGAGAATGACTGGATACTCATCTCGTACTCAGCCAATGACAATCCACTGGACATTGTCATTTAACTCTTCATGGTCCAGGAATGAAATTTATTATCTTGGTGTTGAAGGACTTGAAATTTCCATAAGTGTCATCGTAGACGTGAAGCTTCGCCTGACACAATAGTACTATAATTTATTTAGAGTATTTAAGGAATTTGAGGTTTATACTTCTGAGGGAAGTGGGGATGACTTTTTTTCTTATTGAAAATACCCAACAGTCTTCTTTTCTTTTTGTTTACTTAAAATTCCTAAAAATTTAACACTTTCGAGTAGACCAAACAGCTACCAAATTTTTATTTGTATATATGTATATATATATTTTTCATTCAGTTTTTTTGTGAATTTTCTTACTGTTACAATGATTTGAATTTATTTCAGTGTGTTTTCGCTTGTTGCGTTCGCATGGTGCATTTTCATTTTTTTTCTTGTATCTTTGAAAAATTCTATCCAACATTCGAAAACTCTTGGCAGTGATTGTACTGGTGAGGTTTATCTACCGTGGCGAAGAGGTGGATCGACGTTGTACAGGTCTGCACAAAAGTGGGACGTGAAACCAGGCCACTGAAACAAGTGGAACGGCTTTTAGTGCTTATAGTATTTGAAATGTGGTCTACATGCGGCAGAGCGGCCACTATACTTTTAGTTATTAGTGAAAGTTAGCGAATGGTAACTTTCGACTTTGGAAACGGGAAATGTATCGGATTTTTCTCTTATCGTTGGTATTGAAAAAGGATATGGGTACGTGTATTAACGAAAATTGAATGTCATTGAATTCCGATACATTCCAAACGATTTCTCTTTTATCTTTACTACAATAGTTTTAACGTAAAATTTAATATAAAATAGCTAGTCCATAAAACTTCAATTCAATGACACCAGATTACGCTCAAGTATTAAATATCCCAGTATCGCGACTTCTGGAAATCATACAGAGGCGTTTTAATGAATTTCCTGTAACCTAGATTCTCGTTTCCAGTCGTGCAAAACCGTAATCTGATCTTACCTTGACGTTCATTCAAGATCAATGCACCTTATACGTTGTACATGAGAAAAGTGCATTTTTCCAAAAAGTTATATTTTAATAAAGAAAATATTTTAATCAATCTACTCAATCCACGAGCATAATTTCGTATTCTAATTGTGCATGAAAATGAATTAAGTCTTCCTTTCCTAGCACGGATCATTAACGATTTACCGGAACCTCACCTGGTCTCGATCAAGATCAAGGCCGATATCTTGCTCTTGAACCACAGAACAACCCGTGGGCATTCACACCGTTACAATTCCATATTTACATAAACAAACAAAAGCAAAGGTATCGCTGACACTTATTAATGAGACAATTTCAAAAATTCACTTAAACTTCACTAGTTTTTTACGAAAAAAACTTTTAATTTTTTCGACCTCAATTTTGCGTAGCTTCAAAATATACCTAGACAGGATCAATTAGGCAAAATGTGATTTTTCATATCGGTTTAATGACGTTCAAAATAATTATTTGTATGATATGACGTTTATCGTAGGAGTTCTCAATGCCGGTGTCAATTTTCAGTGTTACGACTTCGTTTTTCCTTCCAATTACGAATAACGTGATACAGGAAAATTTCAAGAGCCTTCCACACCAATCACTGGATGAATAGAACACCGCGAGATGCGGTTGACTACTGATGAGGAACAGAAACATCGGCATTCAACACATTCTCCTTGGTGTCCTCTCTTAGTCTCTTGGTCTCTCTTCAGTCTCCGCTCACTCTCTCCGATGGACCACGTTTCAAGGCCTTTCTTATTTGTCGTTAGCCAGTGAAATCGCTTGGACACATGCTTCCTCTGTTTCCATTCTTCCCACCTCATTTCCTGTTCTTCTTTTCATTCCTTGTTAAAGGAATCTCTTGCTCATCATCCGTATCCCTGCTGAATTAATGTTAATCATTAGTAAAACATTCACTAAAACATTCCAATGGTAGCATTAGAGAAATAAAAACGAAAACATTAATACAGTCCAAGCATGCATGGTCAATGAGAAAATAACCTGAAACTTTGAAAAACTTACTAAGAGCTTTGGATTTTCACGATTGTTTTTCCCTAATCATTTCTTTCCCATAAGTATATCACATTTTGAGAAACACGTTAGAAGCTCGTTAGATACTCACAGGCGTTTAATGTATCCCAAACTTTGTTGGCCTCTGGAAAATATTAACGCGTCCACCGACCAAACTCGTGTCACTTTCGCGTGAGAATTGTGCGAAACAAATCCCTTTTTTTCGTGCTACGTCAAGTTTCACCAGAATAAACAAGTATACAAAGTCTCCACCGACATCCTGAAATTATATTAAACACAGTTATGACATTGTGGCACCTAATTTTCGTGATGGCAATTTCCTACACGGATGCTAGTAAAATTATCATCAGAGAGTCAAGTGTGGAGGAACGTTGGTCACCGGCAATTTTAACAGTCAGTTATAAAGATATAAAATTTTTTTCAAATTTACCTTGATTTTTCTATTTTCAACTTCATCACAACTTTCAGGCCAAAATCTTGGATCAGTGCACGGACTCATTTAAGATAGCTGGAATTACCATAATGGGTAATACGTCATTAGAATTGTTACAGTGCCTTCATGATTTGAAAAACTCATATTACACAATTACATGTGACGATTCGTATCGTCTTAAAAAGATTTGCGCTTCTTGGGAATGGATGGTAGATAAATTCTGCACTTTAAAACCAATGAAAACATCATTAAATTTAATAATGGCCAATGACATGATTGATCTTGAGTCAACGTTAACTTACTCCAAAAATATGTTGCATAGTCATTGGCTAACCAGGTCTTATCACATGATCATTGTTCCAAGTAAGACAAAATTGCAAATCAAACCAGTGACTTGAAGATTGTCAATTATTTTTTCTAATAAACTTATCACTTTTAGCAACGTCCTGCGATAGAGCGACAGCCAGGAGTACATTGAAGTTAGCCTGGAAATTTAACATACTAAACGTCATTTTGATTTGTTACGTAAAATCGAGTAAAGACAAAAACTTAAAAATTTATACATTCAATCCGTACTCTATGGACCACGTATATCCATGGCGTCTTGTGTCAAAGGAAATCATTGAAGTTCCATTGTATTTATATAATTTTAATCACAGCTGGTATCTCTACGAGAGAAATTTTCGCTTCGACAATTGGACAGTTACGGAAATCATAAGCGATAAAATAAAGCCAAATAACGAGAGAAAAATCAGTATGAATGACAATCTGTGTAAAACTGTCTTTTTTGAAAAAACTCAAAATCTCGAGAATTACGTAATTCCCTTAAGCATCGTTCCATTCTCGCCCAATGTGATTCTCCTTGATAATAAAACTGGATTGGAAAAGTGGGTTGGAGAGGAAGGATTGATTTTAAAGACAATTGCGCAAAAATTACGTTTTAGCATACACGAGGTAAAATTGCATGAAATATTGATAAATAAATCATTAACTCTGTAATTATTATTTTCTCTAAGATCTCAACGTACCGTTGCAGGTACCTTATGATCGTAAAAACCCACTGGGTGTGAAACTTGAAAACGGATCGTTTGTAGGAACAGTTAAAGATATCGTTTATGGACATGCAGACATTGGTTTCCCAAGTCGTTACTTAGAAACGATAAGCGAAATGGATTATACTTATCCCCACGTTAAAAGCGGCACATGTTTCCTCACATTATCAGCAGGATATTATCCAATATGGATGAACATAATATTGATTTGGGACTGTTGGATCCTCATAAATCTGTTCATAGTGTGTCTCTGTCTAATCTTATTATACAGCAAAATTGAAAATGACAGAGACATAGTATGGGCCGCATTAAACACCTACAAAATCTTATTAGGAATAAGCACAAAATATTTGTCCAGAAGTGTCCAGCACAGATGTATCATAGGAAGTGTAATACTGGTAATGCTAATTACGAATGGCATCTTCACAGGTATATTGTGTGCTCATAGACATTTTAATAATTATCAAAAATACTTAACTTCTTTTTTTTATTGTACTCAAGGTCGCTTGGTATCCTTCCTCACCATTCCCAGAGCCTACAAGGCTGTAGATACGCTTCAGCAACTTAAGGACAGTGGGATGCCAATTTATGGATTCGAGTCGTTTAAAAGACTCTTGGTCGATCCTGTTCTTGAATCAAGATATCATCCTGCAATGTATTTAGATTGTTTACACGGGATCATAGAGGACAATGATTGCAGAGCATGCATGATGGACTGTCTACTTGCAGAGTTGTGGGAGGCCAAATCACCACAGTTATATAAAGCCAAGGAAAACTTGAGACCGTGGCATCTAACGTACGGGTTATGTTATTATTCGTGTTGGATAATTCGAATAATAAATTTTTAATAATGTACGATTCGTATTACAGACATTTCGTAAACACGAATTGGCCATTGCTCGAGCGCTACGATTTGGAAAACTTCAAGATAATCGAAAGCGGCTTACGATTTAAATGGCGTCGCGACGTCATGAGGGATGTGCATGTATCTACGTGGTCCTGGAGAAGAAAGATGAATCCAGCGTCGTTCAATCCACTTCAATTGAAAACGTTACTCTTACCTTTTATCATATTAGGCGGTGGTCTTACCCTTGCCTCTATCGTATTTGTCTTGGAAATAATTTTAAAGAGACATTAGTTGTTTCGTTCTGGACAGTAGAAATGTATTGCGACTCGAAAATGGTCAAAGAGATAAAGTAAAGGAATGATGAATGTAATATGATAAAGTAAACGAACGAATGATGCATCAGGCGATTAATTGCTTGCAGTGTAATTGTTAGTATAATTAAATGATTATAAGATAAGAAAGCCCCTGCTGGACATCTGTACGTTCAACTTTTGGTTACTGTTCACAGTACACTGCAGAAGTTGCATTATAAACTGATGCTTACAATCGGTAGAGATGAATGCTGTTCGCTACGTTGTCGATATTTGTTTCTAGTGCCGGTAAATACGAATTCGTCATTAACGACAATTTTGTGTAGGTAGAACAGCCGGTAAATATTTGATATACATATATATATTATATGTATGTCATTCGTAATTTTTTCAATTGACCGAAATTATTTCACTGACTATGACGTATAATAATCAAATTCAATCTGCAGATGCATTCATCAAGTGCACCGCATGATGCACACGTAATATACAATTGTACTTGTCTCAAATTAAATTTCATGCTTGGTGCAATCAATTACTGTGAGTTAAAAATGCTAGTAGTTATATTTATAGCTAATAACAATGCCATAACACGAATATTCTCTGTGTGAATATACTATGACTGAATGAATAAGAATATGAATTTTTCTAGTCTTACAGTATTCCTGAAAAGCACTCGATTTTCAAGTGGACGTTACGACGTGTTAGTTTTGCTAAGTTATTTGATGCCAACGCCAACGGGTTCGTAAGTGTGAGAAGATATTTAAAAAGTAATAAAAGTTCTTGAGAATACTCGTCTCACTTTCGTGTCATAATAACAAGTCTGTATTTTAGGAATTGATAGATATAGAACTTACGCGTTTCATCTTTCGACTCATCTCCAATGGAAGTCATAGCCACTTTCTTCTTTCTGTAAAATATTGTAAACGTAATATATAAATGCTCTGTGTATTAATTATTTATCGTACATATTGGAATATTTACGCTGCTACTGAGGGTAAGTTAACACTACATACTAGTCATATCTTTGGGATGGGCGTAATTTTTGACATGAACACCTTTTATTTTAGGATCTAGTGAAATTCTATTCCTGGAACTAAGAATCAGTTTTGGAAGAAAGTACTATACGATTGCTATGCTAGTCTAATACTACGAACATATTTGTGTTCTGTTTTTAATTATCTATTTAACTAAGGTGAAATCAGATTTGCAAGAAGTACGGTATAAACTTGTTGCACTCCGAACTGATGTTAGAGCGAACGATTCTTAAATTCACTGATTACGCATGCGCAGAGAGACTGCTACAAAAATGGCAGCGGCCGTGCCGACTCAATACGTCAAAGTCAAAGTTTAATAAAACCGACGATTAATTCGTGCAACGTGCGAATATCTTTCATTTGTTAACATGAAGCCTCGAGGGCCGTGATAAGGTCATATTTCTGACTATTGTCATCATGTGAATTTCGTTCGAGGGAGCTACGAATTTACGGTTCTTTCTGTATCCGGACGTTATCTCAACGTTTCCCTTTGGTACCACCTGTAAACGTACTTGTGGCGTATTTCTCTTGCGAGATAATCAAAATGACTGACTCGGAGAAACCCTTTGCCTGTCCTTCGCCGGGATGTAATATGGTAGGCAAAATTGTACTTTTCAAATTTACCATTGTTGACTGATGTAATATCAGACTTTGTTCCAAATTCATTGAGTATTGTTGATTCTTCCAGAGTTTTACTAATGAGGATCATCTAATGGTCCATAAGAAAAAACATGATATGGTCTTAAATCTTGGAGCAAATGGGAAAAACAATGTCTTTGTGGGTAAGTTTGTTAGTGTATTGCATGAAATATCTTAAAAGTGTTACCTCTTTCTTTTACCAGCTGATCAGACTCCAACTCCTACAAGATTCATTAGAAACTGCGAGGAGGTTGGTTTATTTCAAGATTTGCAAAATGTAAATCCTTTCGAGGAAACCTTTCGAAGGGCGGTGGAGGCAGGAAAGAGTGGATCGCTGACAGTACCTGAAGTAAAATAATATATTTTTAAAACTGAAATATAAACTAAATTACAAAAATTTAATTAATGTCTATCCTTAGGTAGGAATTTCTGATGATACACTACATACTCCACATGTATTTCCACATATATCAGATGTACAACAGACAAATGATCAAATCCTCGCTGAAAATGTCTCCCAAGAAACACCTTCAATCACAATAACAGAAATAGCAACAAATCAAGAAAAGAATACTTGCATTGAAGTGTGTACTAGTAGAGCAATAAAACAGACTGACTCGAAGGAAATAAAAAATGTCGAAATAATAACTACTAAGGAACATACAGGACATTCAGCGGAAACAATTATTGTACAAGAAACAGATACTTCAATAACAACAAAAATCATACAAGCACCCACATCACCTCAACTGTAAGTGAATCCATTAATTCGCCTCACTGAATTGTACCATTTCTTTGAAGATACTTATATGAGAAAATATATTTTGCCCAAGGTCTATAAACGGAGAAGAAGTACAATTACTGTTGAAGACTGCCGATGGAAAATTAATGCAATTATCAGCAATTCCAGTTTCCGAGCCGTGTAACAATTCTACTACGTCAATTCAGCAGACTAAAGCTTCTACTGTTGTTATAAAGACGGAACCACCATTGCGAAGTGCAAACAAAAATGAATCGAAAAGTACCACATCATCTAGGCTCTCATTAGCAAAAATGGTAAAATTCATATTCACCTCTACTTTACCAAATTCCATTTATACCTAAATAATACTAACCTGATCTGTGCAGAAGTTGAAGCAAGTCCTGACCAAGAACGGTGTAAATAGCGACAATCCGAAGTCCATACATTCAGAAGATGATTTCGATGATTTAGCAACAACCAGCGATAATCAAAACAGAAATATAGATCCACATAAGAAAAAGGAAATTCTAGAACGAAATCGTGCCAGTTCAATGCGTGCACGTGCGAAGCGTAAAGCCTGGATTCAACAATTGGAAAGAACTGTAAATAACGTTAACGAAACAAACGCTGTTTTGCAAATGGAAGTACGAGCCCTACGTTCTGAAGTAGCTAAACTAAAAACGCTACTTCTGGCGCACAAAGACTGTCCCGTAACAAAGGCAATGGAGAAAGGTAAACATTTCTTTGTAAACAAATCCTTTTTATTCAAACATACAGTGTACGTATCAACAAAGTTATTATTTACAGGAAACGGAATAATCGTAGGACCCAAAGTGATCTCGATAAATCCGGAAATGATACAAGCCATACCAGTATCGAGTAGTGTTAATGTACCTATCAAAAGAACAGCCGCGTCACCGGAAGTGTCTATAGCGCCAAAAAAGAAACTATCCTTTGCTGGGACCGTCTCAAAAAATCCAGTAATCTTACCGAAATCCGATAACACACTAGGCAGTGCAAAAATCGTACGAAATCTCTCAGCTTTGAAGATTGTCGAAGTGGGTCATTTCCTGAATGAAAAAGAACGCGGGAAGCAGATCCTTATTGTGCAAAATCCATCTGGCAAAATCGTGGAAGCATCCCCGAGGCCAATTGTTCAAATTAATCCAAGTTTTGAGATACAAAACGCAGCGTCCAAAAGTACAGGAACGTAAAATACTGGAACGGGTATCGTGAAGTTCTAGCTTTTTTTTTACGTCTGGAAACACTGCTCGTTTCATGCAGCCGTTCCCAGTCATCGAATGAATCGAGTATAGGAATGAATTTCATTGTTTTTCGAAAATTACGTGTTGAACAAGTTAACGTGGAGAAGAGAGCAGCGAGCGAGTCAGAAAATAAGAAAAGAAATATAGAAACTAAGAGCAACGCGGAAGATGTTTAAAACTAATTACATCTCGTTAGACGATGAGATTGATAATGTTGGTTTTATCGCCACCTACCATACGTTTCCTGTGACACGATTCCACGCTGTAACAACTTAATGAATCGTGTAATATAGCGGATCCCAGCAGCACGCTTTTACTTAACTCACTTAGCTGTACACGTCAGTTACGTAACAAAGCGAATGACGAGTTAAAAAACTTTTAAATAAACAGCTCGTTACACTTTGTCTTTTTCTAAGACTCTTGTGAATTTCGATCCGCTTACCATCCCTTGTCAGGCTTCATCATCAGTTACCGGGTGACTCAACTACAATTTCTTCTGGATAACTTTGAATTAAGGAGAAGGAATAAATATATTTATTTTTAATATAACACAAACCAAGACAATAAAATCTGCCACCAAACATGACATAAGCCACAGGATTTTCAATCTACCAGAATTTGTACTACTACATAATATCGTTTCGCTGTATTTTTATTATCTTTATTACAAGCAACATCCAAGCATTGTCATTTTATATTACAATAATTTCAACGACAGTGTATTATACAAAATCAAGGAATCGATTCACGCACACAAGTTCATCACTGAGAACAATTTTCTCTGTTTGGAATGGCATCGAATTGACGGAGACAAATCAACAACAAAAAAGCAAGCTCTTTCATTAATTCATTTATCCGAACCCTCTGTTTAAAGTACTCCTTGCGGACAAGCAGGCACTCCCGTATAATAGTCTAATCAAATAACACGCAATCCAGTTAGTAACGGGCCAAACTGCTTCGGTATAAAATCGTATTCCCTCTCATTAGACATTCCCACGTCGAGTCTGCGACCCTCGGGCCCTTATCAGTTCTCCGTCCAGTTGTCTAAACGCTCGTACACCGGACAGGAGAATGATAAGGGACTTCGGGCACGAATTTCTTCAACCAAACGAAGCACAATAGGAAATCCCAGGATTACGGTTTTCATCAGCATCCCTCACTGCACAGCTGTACGTATACGCATCAGTCTCAGGGCCAGCGTCTTGTAAATTGAAAAAGAAGAGTCGATTAATGTAAGCAATAAATAAATGATAATTTTCTATAAAACAATAACAATTATAAAATCCTTTTCTATGTATACAAGCAACCAAGAGTTAGCCATTCGACCTGTAATACACTTTGACTTCCATATACCAGAGGATCACAGCTTTACTCCAGAATCGATTAACTTAATCAAAGCATACTGAAATAGAATCTTAGCATTACTTAGTATCTTCCACAATTCCCGGAGAGCACAGCACCGTAAAGGTCTTGCGTGGAAATTTCCAGTCTGCATTATTCGAATGAGTAAAGGAAATTCCAAATAGCCAACTGTACATATACCATGGTAGGGCATGGATATCAGGTATATTCAAATATACTATAGTCCGTATTCACAACTCGCTCTTAAAATCACTAACAGAGTCGCTTGTAGTTAAAAGTCACTAAGAAAAAATTTAAAAGTGCGCTATTAACACTAAAAGCTAGTTCTGAATACGGACTTATATACAGGGTGTCCCAAAATTACCTGACCAACGGGGTATGGTGATGTTCGGGATGGACAACTGATCACGAAAATGACCATCCTTTTGTCCCCAAAATTACCTGACCAACGTGGTATGGCGGTGTTCGGGAGGCACCACTGATCACGAAAATGACCTTCCTTTTGTCCGGAAGGTCTGAGTTTTTAAATGGGAGCAGGTCAAAGTTGACCAATCAGAGGAAGGCGTCAAGAGAAACGTAGGCACCTGCGAACTCTGAGTTTTCTTCCCTCGCTTTTGTTTCTCGGTGGCTTCGGGCAGGATGACGTCAGCCGAAGACATGCCTATGGGAAACAAGAAACAAGCTACCGAGAAACAAAAGCTAGGGAAGAAAACTCAGAGTTCGTAGGTGCCTACGTTTCTCTTGACGCCTTCTCTTGACGCCTTCCTCTGATTGGTCAACTTTGACCTGCTCCCATTTAAAAACTCAGACCTTCCGGACAAAAGGAAGGTCATTTTCGTGATCAGTGGTGCCTCCCGAACACCGCCATACCACGTTGGTCAGGTAATTTTGGGACACCCTGTATATTGCTACATTAAAGTTATCATTACTTAACCCTTGCAGGTGCGGCTTTTTTTTCTTGCATTTCAATAAAAAATAGGCATGGATTCGCATTTTCCTGACTTACAAATACTTGCTCTATATGTTCGTGACGGTTATATTTAATAGATTGATTTTATACTGTTTATAAACAAATTTGTAAAAACACGTTTTTTTGACGGATAAATTTCACGGTCTTAATATTTCATTTTTCATATATCGAACATACAATCTGAATAATAATCAATCGACAAATTCGAGAGTAATCTCATGTGCATTCCAAGAACGTCCAGGGGACTGGAGTCTTTTCTCCTTGCGATATAGTTTCTTCTTTACACCGAATAGTATACCTGTTGAGTTTTTTTTTATTTCGTCACAAGAAATTCTACTTTTGATTCCTGGATCAAGAGAATGGTACTCTATCCAACAGCAGGTAGTAATTTCAAAGTGAAAAGCGCCTCTGGCGGTGTATTTCGTACTGGTCTCCTCTACTGTCAATTAGTTTTATTTTTAATTTAATCGGCAAAACGACCGAAATAGAGAGGCCTGGGTGCCCGACGTGGATGTCCACCTTTTATCACGGCCCTGAAACGACGACGACGTCGCTGATACTGTTATACAATGATCCTTTCTCGAGACGATTTGTTACACTTCGGGCCTTGGAGACTGACAGTCTTCAATAATACATTTATTCCCTTAACTGAGAAAGAGGGATATGCTTTGTTTAAAAAACACGACTTTATCGATACACTGCACCTGTTTACACGATAGATAAATCAATTGGTTAATTTCAATTAGTTTTACATGATATTACTGATGGCTTGTCATGATACTGCCGATACTGATAAGGAGGTTACTCACTGTTAAACCTATTGAACTCTTCTGAAAAATTCTTCAGGTAATCTATTATCCTGATTTCTAAAGTGTCTACGGAATATCTATTTTTAGTTGGAAAATTATAAGTGGGTTGAGCATAAAGGACGTCGCGATACATATTCAATCAATGGCAGAGAAGCCGTAATGTATTCGAGACTGATAATGAATTTTTCATTTCACTATGGATATTCATTTTGTCCTGTATTCTAAAACACGGCATATAATATCCAGTTTCTCTGGATTTACCTGAACTTAAGTACAGCACGACACCTACAAAGTGAAGCGGGATAAAACGAGATTTTAATCGGATAAAATTCACTACTCGGGGATAATGGAAGCCATCGTGCCTCTTAAAACGCGACAAATGGAAGGAAACGAGCAGAGGTAAAAGAGGACTAGCTCTCTCTTAAATCTATTCTTTATCTCTCTCTATCTATCTCTTTCTGCCAGTTTCCTTGTCCGCAACAAGAACGACCCTCATTGTCAGTCTACCAACAATCGCAAAAATCCTACGGCCCTGAAACAATGCGAGATCTGGTAGCCTTGAGACGGTCAGCTTTCTTTATTTTTGTATCTGGGCTGAAGTGTGGCACGTTTCGCTAGCGATTTTCTCACTTATACAAGAAAAAAGTATGCACACTCCGTTGACACCCACGTCGAAGAAAGAAAATTCTACAGATCCATTAATATTCAACACGCTCCGACGTGAGACTAAATTCGATATTTCAAGTTTAAAAAAAACGGCTTTCACGTATAACACAAGTAATACGATCACATAGCTTCACTGTGAGATCCCAATAGTCTTATTTACGTGATTCCTCCTTTTTCCCCTGCAGCAGTCCCAGCGACTATTCGAAGCCGGTATATAACGACGAAAAGTAAAAAAATTACAAAGAACTGCACTGCCAGAATCCCGCATGACGATTGCAAACGCGTACACTCAACACACGCACCAATCACTAAGCCCGAGGCACAAAAACGGAACACGCTACTGAAAACCATCGCCGAAGAGAGTCTCCCGCGCACTGAGTCTCGAGAATTAGATTCGGCGAGTTTGCCTAACGTTAACCCCGACCCGTCAGAGAGTGGGGAGGTAAAAGAACCGGCGACTTCTTTGTCGAGCCCACAATGATCCAGTTGCGCCATCTCTGAAGAGAAGTGAATTTTTCAGACCCAAAGAAAGAGAACAACCGGTCAACCCCGCTCTAGAGAAAAACAAGAGTCGAAGACGTAGACCAGTGATAAGAACCGCAAATAAAAAAAAGGCCTCGTAGATTTTACGAAAACTAACACGATCCAAAATCCATTTATAACACAAACAGAATGAAAAACCGGCACAATCCTCTTGGTAAAATTATAGTAGCGTTCGGAGGACACGTGTAAAAACGATCCGTACCGCACGACGACTCTCGACAGACTGAGGCCAAGCTCGCTGTATTGCAGTTGGCGTAGCGACTCTGCGTTAATCCCAGTCTAAGTCCACATCGAGGGACGACGACAACAGGAACGTATCTCGTGTCCGTGGCTCTCAGTGCTTTAGCACTGTGTCTAATATCTGCTATTTTATTTAGATGTCAGTTGGCACCGGCGAAGATTATATACCGCGGCGTGTTTTAATTGCCTCGCGAAATTACGTTTAAAGTATTTTTTTTCCGTCTCATTTCTTTCGTTCATTATACTCCCATCGTCAAAGACGGCAAAAAAATTCCACTGGGAAATTGCACTCTGTCATTATCATGCACCGTAACTGGCTATATCCCGAGTGTCACTTCCATAATAATTTTTTTCATTTCTCAAAGAAAAGGAAATGGTATCCATCCTAGGGGACACTGCGTGTCCATGGTAAGAACACGTGTTCGCACAAAGAGACTCCTCCCTCCTAGACGAGACGGAGGAGACCGTCGAAGAGGTATGGGGTATATCTCGTGGCGGCCATGCTTCCATCCGTCCATAAGTCCGTTGGTAGGTCGCCCGGTCCATACCGAGGCAAACTAATTATACTCCAGGCAACCTTCACCCGCCGGTCCAGCTGTTCTGGCCATTTCTGATCTGCAAACAAAACGTGGATACGCATACGTTAGTTTAGTCATGGAATCAAAGTGACTCGCATTCTGAACGAACGCGTGGTACAGCAGCTCTAGTCTCAGTGAGCAAGATAAAACAGGAATTGAATGCGCGATGAAATTTCAACCACGTGATTAAAATGGCGTCCCTTATATAAAAAAAACTAATAAAAAATAAAATTCACACATCCCACCGACCAAGTAACCGCATGAATGCACAAATGGCGCCCGTAGCAAAGAATTTCAAGATGGCCGATCGAGTATAAAGAAAAAGGGAAAAATTGAAAAAAAAATTTTCATCCAATCTCTCAGCTAAGAAAATCCCTATAGATCCGATAATCAACGTTCTCCTCTTACAAAAGCATTAGTCAATTGATATCGCGGTGCAAACTCATCGTCCCATGAACCAACATAACCTCAAAGTTTCTTACTCAGTGGCCGGAAGATCTCGGGGGTGTATATCCGGCGTTAAAATACCTAGCGGGATACCGTCCGACGGCTACGACACTTCCAGAGCCCATTACCCTGCCTAAGCCTCGACGATCGTTAATTACCGCGAGAACACACGCAGGGCCGTAGATAGGAGGCGCGATATCGATTGCGCTTAATCACAAGCACAAATGCCAGAACGAAGAGCCGTCGGACCCGGCGTGCAGCACGTCCAAGCACGAGGTGCGTATCTTGTTAGTCGTTTTAAGAGCATCCCTGCGAAATATCGACTGCCAACCATTCCTCCATCTGGCCTAGGTGTGTGCGTCTACCTACTATACCTATAGCCATTTTCTGCCCCCAGACTCTCTCATCTCACTCTCGCGTTCTATCCCACGGCTACTATTCCTCTCGTACTCTCTCCCTCTCTCTCTCCCTTACCGCTCACTACCGACAGACAGAACACCACGTAACCGAGAGATACGAGGAGAGCAGGGTAAGAGGGGTGCACGGGGTGCCTCCAGTGGATGGGCGTGGTAGGTTCAGGGTTGCGCGACGGTCAAGGCTACTCGGGAAACCCCGTACAGAGATATTGCACCGAATCCAGCCTCACGTGAAAAAAAATATTATCTCTCAAATTTTATGTTACTTAATAATTTTCCAAAAATCTTCGCGAAGCTGCTTACCTAACGCAGTTTCCCACTAACGAGTCTGGTAGATCGTCAAGACTTACCGAAGGTAATACCAGATACGTATATTTGTAAAGTATTAATTAAATCTATTATCCGCACTGATTACAACAAGAAATCTAGAAACCGCGCGAACTCTATACCCTATACCTTAAACTCTATAATGAATCCTCGGGCGACGGTTATTCCGAAGGGTGCGTTTCTAGCTGCACGACTATACATTGTATTGGCGCGGGAGCAAATTGAAATTATTGGCACGGCTCGCCGCACATTACTAGCTCGTTAACGGGATATCGTTCCCACTCTATTCTCCTCTTCGTCGCTCACTTACCGTCCGGATCTTTCCGTTCGCCAAACCGAAGCCGGGAGTCCTTTGAATCCTCTATACCAACCATTCTCTATCTCTCTCTCTCTCTCGCCTTCTCTTTACCCCAGTGCACCTATCTCCCGTCGCTTAGTCGTTCGACCTCCTGACGAGCCTCCAGGGTGAAAAATAATATCGCGCCTGTCTTTATACGTCCATTAGAGGCGAGATCGTTTCGATAGAAAGAACCTTCAGGGGTGTACCAAGCAAGAGAGAGAGAACGAACAGAATGAAAAAAACAAGGATGCGAAGGGTGACGCAAGAAGAAATAAAAGAAAGGCGCCACCGTGCTATGATACTAAGATACAGATACGTAATTCAGACGACGATGGAACTTTTATTCGCTTGCTCGGCGAATTAACGGCCGCGGGTGTCTTTGCACGCGAGTAAACGAGACCTGGTAATAGACGGGAGAAAAGGGCGATACGATAATTTGCATAATTCTTTCGGATCCCATTTCGACGTACGCCATCGACATCAGCCAGCATCGTAATTCGACCAGTGTTTAATATTTAGCTGAGAGTCCATGAATTTTACGAAATCATCCAGAACCTCGTTACGTATTTACGATGACGAAGGGGGATGACGTCAGAGCACGAGGGATGACTCGGGCTAAAATCGAACGGACAGCTAAGCAACTGATACCAGTGGCGTCGTATCGAGGTTGGCGAGACGAAAATTCTGAGGTCACAGCATAGAACAAAGATAGGGTCAAGACGTGAGAGCGGTAACGTCTATACTGGTCGTCCCGAATCTAAATACGTAATCGGATTCGCGTCCAACTTTCATGCAGGTTAGGTATCCGTAAGTATGGACTGGGGGCACGTACGTGTCAGTCTCTTTAAAATTTTTCAGGCACGTGCCTAGCAGGCTACTCGGAAGGATCCTTATAAATTCGAAATCTTTCTTCGAGTCAACATTGGGCCCTTCGGGTACTCGGTGCCAGACGCAGACGTCACTGGGGGGCCAGCTGGTCTTGATAAGAGACACGCACCACGATATTCACGAAGACTTTTATAGTTCCTATTCGAATACAATGGCTGATTTGAATTACCATTTCATATTGGCTCTGTCACCTATGACCCGAGTCGAACTCACCGATCTACACGTATTTCCTTAGCTCGTGAGCTTGCGACGGTACACCTGGTTTGCATTGAAAGAAGCGAACCCAAAAAAAAATACAGGTACGACGCAGAGGTTCAAAGGGCCCCGTGGCATCTTTACAGAGTAAATAGCAAGGAAAATTTCTAGCTACCGAAGTTTTCCAAGAAAAATTTTTTCTATAGAAAAACTTCGTAACTATCGTGACCACAGGACGTGCATGCTACGTCGATTTTAATCAACGGATAACCGAGGTCCTTACCCCGGCCCTAACCGCAGAAGTGCGGTGGAGTCTCGATATGCAAAAAAAAATATAACTGAAATCTCATATCGATGTAATCAGGTCCGGATATGGAAGTACGCAAAAGTGGATCACGTGGATTCGCATATTAACAAAGTACACAGTGACTTTGAATTTTCGAAAAATATTCTTCGATTGTTTCCGCCAGCTGGACCGTCACGGGGACCTGTGATATTTCCTGAACCAGGTCGCCCGAAGCACAGACACTCGAGATTGCTAGCGGCAATGATGAAAGGATGAAAAAAATAGAGGACAAAAGAACAAGTGGAAAAGGAAGGGACAGGAAGATCAGCCCAGGAGCGTACCACGTGTGTGCAGGATATTGGATGGAATTCTGCAGTCCAGTTGGTCCTGCCAGATCAGACATATATATACTGACGTCATTTTTCGTATAACACAGCGTTCGTGGAGCTGAAGTCTGCGTTCGGTTCAATAAAGTTTCTTCCCATCCCGGGCGTCGTGACGCTTAGTGAACCCGCTGCTATCCCAGGCACGAGGCGTCGGGGTTAATGGATTCAGGAACACTAGAAGTGCAGCCTCTCCAGGGTATACGGACGAGCGTGTAAAACGAGAGCGAGAGTGAGCCTGGGGTACGGTAACCCTAGTGCTACGGAGCGAAAGACGCTGAGGTCGTCGGGTGCCGTCGGGACGACGGCCGTCGTCGCTTAGGACGCTGAGGTAATACAGCCAGAAACCGTACGTACGTCCCTAGGTGGAAGTTGATCGGTCGCTTTAAGCGATAAGACACACTTTAGATAATCAGATTATTTGGCCCGTTCGATTTCCGGCCTGGATACGTATTTCCCCCCCCCCCCCCCCCCCCCCCCCCCTTTTTT